ATGTTAAATATGCAGTAGCAAATCTTGTAATAGCAGGTCTAATAATTTTCCTATTAGTGAATTTTCTCATCAAGCTGAGTATCCAAGAATGATTGTATATAAACTTACTAACGTATTTGACCTTCAATATGACTAATTTATGTTGAGGCAACTGTTTCAACCTCTCAATCATTAAGTCAATACAATGTGCAGCACAAGGAGTCCAGTAAAGGTAAGGCCTCTTCTTCATTAACATTCTCCCTGCAGCTTTGTATGCACTTGCATTATCAGTAACAACCTGTACTACTAAGGCATCTCTCACCTTCCTCCACAACTTATCCAACATTTCAAACAATAATTGTGCATCATTTACAAAGCGTGAAGCATCTACTGATTTGAGAAAAACTGTTCCATATGGATTGTTGACCAAGAAATTAATGATACTTATGTGTCGAATATCTGACCAACCATCTGACATTATTGTCACTCTTGTCTCAATCCAAGTCTTTTTAATATCATCCACCATTTTTGAAGTTGTCTTAACCTCCTCATTCAGCATCAAAGTCCTCAGCTTATACAGCTTGGAAGTTGTAGTCCTCTTCCATAGCTTCCAACAGATCGTAACATATTGATCCATGACGGACTCATAATAACATTAAATTGAATCCCATTTTCATAAATGAATCTGACGATATCCAAACAAACTCTGTTCCTGAGTTCTTTTGTAGCTGTAGGAGGCTGAAGATCTTGAGTGTTTATGTTATCATCGTCATCAATATTTATCATAAATCTATCCATAGGACCCCGAGTGTCTCGTTAGAAGAAACTATATAGCTTCCACTACTGGAACCTTCATGCTGTGATCCATAGTAAGAAGAGTTTCCTATCATTTCTTCCATATTTCTTTGTGTGACCTCCTTTGTGGTGGCAAACTTCTTTAAATAATATGTACATTCCTTTTTCACCTTATCAGTACTTTTGCACATGTTTCCCACATTGACATGAGTGCAGGCTAGATGATCCTTCAATCTCTTGACGCCACAAGTTATGCGTTTCTCACAGAAATTACATTTCATATAAACATATCCCTTCTTTGCACCTTCGCCTGATACTTTAACATGAGTTTCATATTTTCATGCAGGATCTTTCCTTCTTGTGCCACTAGTCATGCTAATAATTTATAGAAATAAATAATCAACATCAAATAGGACAGATTTTAATAATTATTTGTACTACCAATAATAAGACAACATGAATATAACAATATATTGGTCTGCCGGGGGTCCAAGGGGGCGTTGCCCCCTGTCAGGGTTCGACCTGCGGGAGTTTTCGGGGGTAGCGCCCCTGCGGGGGTTTTCGGGGGCAGCGCCCCCGGAACAAAATTTTATTATAAGAGTAATTTTGAAGTTCTGCTTGTTGTATATGCTCAATATTGAGCGGTACCGAGCATGTACTGCTCGGTATCGAGAGTGTACCTAGTGGTACTGAGCATGTACCGCTCAGTACTGAGCATATACTTGCTCGGTACCGAGCATGTACCTAGCGGTATCGAGCATGTACTGAGCGGTACCGAGCATGTACATCGAATTGGTCGAAGGGGAGCACGAAGGGGAGAAACTCACCTTCAGAGCAAGCGGGCTCGGGCTATTGCTTCCCATCAAAATGTTGAAACTTCCGAACCGAAAGGAAGGGAAAGTCGGAGCGAAGTCGGACAGGGGAGGCGGGTTTCGGCTCCAGGTAGGGAGAAGAAGATCCCTCTCTCTCTTTCTCTATCTCTCTATGTTTTCTCTGTGAGGATTGGGAGGCGACGGCTTGCAGATGGAGGTAGGTGCTTGGCTTGGAGGAAGAGATCGGGTAGAAGGGTTCGGCCGGAGCTTTGCTTGGGTCGGTGAAGATGGATTGAACATAGACGAGAGGGAGGAGGTTGGGAGTTGAGTGCGGGAAGGAAGAGCAGCCGATGGAAGTCTCTCCGTCTTCGTTTTATAGACGTGAAGATGGAGCACGGTTGAGGTGAGATCGCGGATTTTGAGCAAGATATGCTGAGAAGCGACGCGAACGGCGCCGAATCAGCGCGATTTGCGGCAGAATCCTTGGATCCGATGGGTAAGATGTATGTATGCAGGATTTTTTTTTTGTTCTTCTATACAAAGGTTAACAGTCATGCAATATCTCTCAGCTTTTTCTAGTCACATCTAATGCCTCTAAATTGAAAGCAACTATGTCATGCACCTTTGAGTTATTCGGTGAAGTTGATACTACTAGCCCTCTATCAGTGAATGAGTTAATGTCAACCTCAAAAGCATGTCCTTGACATACACATTTTCTCCTCGAAATGAGACAACCCATGGTTGAATCTAGATTGGGTCTTCATTCCCCTCAACAATTCCCAATCATACTCAATTTAACTAAATTTGAACTTAAGGTACATCATTAATTGAGAGTATTCTCCCACATGCAGGTGCGTGAGGGGGTAATTAACTATAATGGCCAATGCCCATTAGAAGTTCGATCCTAAATCTCATTAAACCTCAATCTAACATCACTGAGAATTTGGTTGAAACAAGCTTAATTTACTTTAATGAAGATAACTCGTGAATCTTGTCATCATATTAGGATGGCTTTGAGGAAATGAGATGGCTTTTTATGAGTGATTAACAAGGCCATGATTGATCCCATCTGTGAAATGATGTGTGTAAAATTTTTTGAAGAGCCTTATTTTTTTGTTATTTAACTTATGATTTCAAACTATATTTTCAAGTTGCTATTTATATTGCTAGCATTTCTGTCATTCATGGAAGGACTAAATATATTGAAGTTGATTTCCGCTTTTTCAATTTAAATAGATTATCACTACTCCCCATATGCTAGTGAAAATTAAATGGCTGATATCTTTTCCAAATATTAAATCTATGTAATGAGTTGAATTTAATTTATATATATATGCTCCAACTTGATCAGAAGTGTTAGCATTGGGATCTCAATTTAGAAATTTTCCATATTTTATAAGTGGTGTAAGATTACTTTGTTTTACCTTAGAATAATTTACTTGTCATTCTATTATAATAAAAATTTCCTCTAGTGAATAAAACGTGATGCATGCAAATTTTAGTTTTTTGTTTTAGTTTTTATTGTAATTTGAATACTATAGTTATTTTTGATTTTTTATGCTATAGTATGATGGAAGGAAACCAATAGTCATGAGTAGGTTATGCTTTGGGCTTGACATACTTTGGGTGTGCTAGCTATTTTGGTGCCTTGGCTCTTGGGCTGCTGATGGCTTCTTGGTTTGGGCTTGGCTGTTCAGTTTTTGCTGTTTTGTTTGGAGCTGCTATGCTCTAGCTCATAGTTGCTGAGATGCTGCTTCTTTTTCAGCTCATTACTACTGGTAGTTCACCTCTTTTTTAGCTTATTATGTGGAGTGGATTTGGTTCTTTCCCCCTCTTTGTGGCCCTTCGGTTCCTCCGCCTGGCTCCTGTCCCGTGGCTGGTTCCTCTCCCCGTGGCTGCCAGTTCCGGTTCCCTGTGGATGCCCGTTCCTGTCCCCCTTGTGGCCCTTCGGGTATTGCTCTTGGGCCGCCTATTGGCATTCTGTGTCCCCATTCTTGATTGTTTTGGTTGGTGGTATTTTGGGCTGTTTGGCTGCTCCTTTTCTCTTATATATTTGTGATGTTTTGGAGCTTAAAAAGGTTGTTGTTTGCTGAGCAAAGTTCTCTAAAATCTGAGGGTTTCTTTTTGGGAAAGCTTGCGAGCTTGTTCCATTTATCTCTTCCTCTCTTCGATTTCTTCTTGGGCTCTTATCTCTTTCTTCTCTCCACAAGTTCCTCTCCACTTGTATCTTTCTTCTGGAGCTATCGGAGGTGTTGGTTGGCCGGTTTTGGTAGCATTTGTCGGAGGATTTTTGGTGGACGTTGACCCAAGTAGCTGTGTTGGACCCTTGGTTTGAATGCCCTTAAACACATTTTTTAAATTACCTACTATTTAGTTCCATGTGAGGTGACCGCTAGTCGGTTGTTTTGAGGGTAGCTATTTTTATTTTTAATTTAGTTTTCGTTTGTTTGGCTTTCGTTTGGGTTGAGGTTTGTTTGATGTTGGCATTCTAAGTTTTGAATCGCGAAAAGTTCTATTTGTCCTGGTCTTCTCCCCTTGTGGCTTTTTCTATCTAGTTTTTTGCATCAAAACGTAACACCACCAAAGAGTTTTTCCCTTTGACATATTTATTCATTCCTAGTATTATGGAAAATGCTAAATTCTATGATGCTTATATGCTGATAATTATTTAACATTCCTGTACTTTATTTTATTTGTAGTGAAGTGTGAATATTTTTGAAGTTGAGTTTGGTATTCTTATTTTATGATGACAGTGATTGGCTCCTCTTCCTTTTTTTGGTTGCTTTAAATTCACTGGCAATTTTATTACGATTGGGAATTGGAGGTTTGCTTGAGAAAGTCATAAAGGAAACAATAATTTGGCTCGTGGAACCTTTGCCTTGTTGTAGAAACTGATAGCTTAGCGATCTCACTGATTGTGAGAGTACTGTCTCAATTTTTTTTTTTTTCATGCTTCTCTTTCCCGCCTTGGTAAAATTTTAGTTTTCTTGGTTTAGGTTCCATAACAATATAAATTCACATCAATTTTTGATGAAAACGGTGCATGTGTGCTAACAGACACTTTCATGTGTGACATTTGGCACCTCTGTGGGGTTTGATTTTCTTGTTCGTTGGTAATTCAATATGTTTAGCCATATAATTGACTTCATCTTAAGTTGATGTTATTTATCAGTTATTTCTTTGCCATCATTTATTTGTAAGGGCATCTTGGTTAGTGGAAGATGATCATGTCTTCACACTCTTCAAATAGCTTTTGTGTCATTCTCATTGTACGAATGGAGTCTTGTACTTTCCACTCGTGTAACTTTTCTATTATATTGCTGCTTCGTAACCTTTCTCCTCGTTTAGATAAATGCCATACAATTGGATTCTGTTGAAGCATTGATTTTACAGATAATAAATTAAAATTTTTAGAATGGATGTTGCGCGACACAAGCTTCAGAACCATTCAGATCTTTCAGAGTTTGATTTTGAGCTCCTATACCATCGGCGATCTTCAATTTCAAGCATTGATAATGATCATGACCTTGATGTTTTGGATACCAAATTAAAAGGAGGCCGCTACTATTCTGTGAAATTTACAGCCTTAGAAAGGCACAAGGGCTTCAAACATATAAAAGTTGTTAAGAAGAAGCCCTCCTTGATTCCAGACGAGTACATTCCTCTAGTGGAACTTCATATTACCACTGAAAATGGCAGGAATGAGTTAAATTCACATGTTGAGCTTGAGGAATCTTGGGAGGATGAATTACTACGAAGAACAAGAGAGCTAAACAAAATGTCTAGAGACTTCCCTCATGATGAGAAAGTATGGCTAGCTTTTGCTGAATTTCAGGTAGTCTCTTGACTGATTGGATAATTTGGTTTTTCAACCATTATCAACTAATAATTATTGTGTTTTTCCTTTTTTTTCCTGCTCATTAAAGCATTTTGCGCAAATTATTGGTCGATCAAAAGCCGTTTTCTAACCATAGTAGCATGAATCAATTATACTGTCAATTTCTACTTGGTTATAATGCTCATAGTGCTCATTCAAAACTCTAAACTTTCCTATTTGTTGATAAAAGGCCCCTTTTTGAATTTGGTATTATCTTTTTTCAGGATAAAGTTGCAAGCACTCAGCCACAAAAAGCAGCTCGATTGCAGACGCTTGAGAAGAAGATAAATATTTTAGAAAAGGCTGTTGAGCTTAATCCGGATAATGAAGAATTGTTGCTTTGTCTTTTGAAGTCATATCAAGAGCGGGATACCACTGAATCTCTCATGGAAAAATGGGAGAAAGTGCTTATGCGACATTTTGATAGTGTCATGTTATGGAAAGAATTCTTGCTTGTCCGTCTGGGGGAGTTTTCCCAGTTTAAAGTATCTGATATTAGAAAAACTTATGGTCATGCCATCCAGGCTCTGTCCTCAGCTTGCAACAAGCTTTGTAGGCAGGTTCTATATTCTATCTTTAAAGTTTACAGTCTATGACACTGTCACATGAAATTCACCTGTCCTTCTACTCTCTTTTAAAATATCTCAGTCTATGATAATCATATGAAATTAATCTGACTATATAGATTTTTTATATTATGATAGAAAATTCACGTGCATCTATTTTTCATTGAAATATCCTGTTATCATTCTTGTTTGGTTTGATTTTTTTTCTATTATTTGTCTTTTTTTGTTGATTAGGATGATATTGAAATCATCATTATTGATATATCATTACCAAACCAACCTCATGTTCTCAATTAGCAATAAGGTTTATTGGCGGGCTCGATTATTTATCTTCATAGTTCTTCCATACGTAATGCCTGATCATATTGAAATTCCCCCGCAGTCATTTTTTGCACAATATTTTCCATCTTTTTATCTGCTTCTTTTATTTTTCTGTTAATTGGTTGTGATGAATTGTAGGTTAAATGGTGTAATTTTCATAATTATGCAGATTTTGCTATGGCCTCCGCTATTACTCCGTCTTCATTTGCCAAATTGCACGCCAATCCACAGGCATTTCCTCATTTATGTGTTAGTTTGAATTAACTCTTAATATATAATCCTTGATTTGCCTGAAGAAGCACCACCTGTTTTGAAGTGCGGATTTGTTTTGGTGCAAATGCATTTCCTTTTTGTTACCTCCATTTTATTTCCTCTCATTTCTCGTCCACAAAAATTCAAAAATGCATTTACCATAATTTGATCTATGCATTGTCTTGATCGATAGCAAGCTCTTGTTTTTACTATAGTTATAGCTCGTATGTACTTATGATAGATGCCTCATTTTTAATTGCTTAGTATGTTGCGAGTCTTGGAACGTCATTGATTTGTTGCACTGGTCTCCCTGCAAAGAATCTTTGCTTGCAAATTGAGGAAGTGATGTTTAAACATAAATAGGACTGGGATATGACATAAAAAATAAGCTGTTAAATGACCTAATCGCCTGGCAAAAAGAAAGAGGAGAAAATGAGTTTTTTTCTGACCTTTTATGATAATTAAACTTGAGTATTTTTTATTTTTGGTTGCAGGGCTACCAATCTAACGATTTGAATTCTAAAGATTCTTCTTTGGTTCAATTAGAGCTTGGTCTAGTTGATATATATACTAATTTGTGCCGATTTGAATGGCAAACTGGACACCAAGAGTTAGCTACTGGATTATTTCAAGCAGAAATTGAGTACAGTTTGTTTTGCCCTTCTTTACTTCTCAGCTCACATAGTAAACAAAAACTCTTTGAACACTTCTGGAACAGTAGTGGTGCCAGACTTGGTGAGGATGGAGCTCTTGGGTGGTCTACATGGTTGGAAAAAGAGGAGCAGAATAGGAAAGAAACTATTTCTGAAGAAATAGTGGAGGAGTCTGAAGGAGGCTGGTCTGGTTGGATGGATCCTTTTTCTAAGGAGTCTACAGCTAAGGAAGAGAATTCAGGGAAGCGTTTGGATGTCGAGAGTACTGAAGACAATCCTGATAATGAATTTACTCCTCTGACTGATGATGTTGAAACATTGTTAAAGAAGCTTGGGGTTGATGTAGATGCTGATCCTCGTACTGAGGTTAAAGATACAATAACTTGGAAAAAATGGTCGCAGGAGGAGCTATCAAGGGATTCAGAGCAATGGATGCCTATTCGTGAACATTCTGGTACAAAGAATTTATTTGCTATTTACTGAGAATATATGCTCCTTTTTCTCGTAATGGTTTATAAAAGATGTCCTTTAATGAATGATTATTATCATTTAAAGAGCAAACTACAGTTGCATATCCTTTTACAATCCTTAATGATTGCGATTGTGTTTCTTAAGGAAATTGTGGAAGCTTGGCCTCACCTTACCCTGAGGATATTCAAGATATGGACAGAGATCAGCTTTCAAGGGTGATTTTGTTCGAAGATGTAAATCAATATTTATTTTCTCTGTGCTCTAATGAAGCCCGATACTCTTTGATCTCTCAATTTATTGAATTCTTTGGTGGAAAAATTCCTCGGTGGTAAATTCCTATCCAACTATTTTTATAATAAAGCTTTTTCTATATTTCTTTCTTTTGACTTAAAATTCCAAACGCTTTAAGCAATTTTTCCGAGATACTATTGCATTTATTTTTTAATCCTGCTTCCATTGAATTCACTAGTAAATTGAAGTTTCAGAATATTACTTAACTTAATAGAATAATTATAAAATTAATTTAGTGGTAGGTAACAATGAAATTCACTCCAACCCAAACAATCACAAGAATGAAATTATTATGAAGTGAGTGCATGCAAAATAAATAGAAATCATTGGAACTTCAATGGGGCTCAACTCCAATCACTTCCAAACACTCACTCTTAAATAAACTAATCCTTAGTTTTGCAACATATTTTGTGTGTAGGTTTAGCAGGATGATATTCATCTAATTTGTAATATAAAAGAGTGAACTCTTTGGAATTTTGATTGTTTATTTAGTTCCTCGCATGTTGTTTGAAGGATATAATTTTGAAGCACAACTTCTTTCAGTGTTTTCTAATTTTTTTCTGTATAATATGTGCTGATTGGAGTCTAAAAATGATTTATAATAATTGCAGGAAATTGCTTGCTTCTTTTCTCTATTTTATGAACTAGCATTATCGGGTTGCATTACACTAGATACAATTAAAAAGAGAAATTATGCGTAACCAATTTAGTTCTATTTAATTAGCACATAAATCAACTATTTATTACTGCATCATGCATTGCAATATTTTAAGAGGATAAAGAACTAAAATAAAGGTCACTTTTATTATTTTTGTATCACGAATGATTGGAAGTAGGCTTTTAATACGTTGCTTGGTTAGTATTTGAAAAATAATAGAATTCCATCCCAATAATTATGCTCTTATGATAGGAAAAATGTATTAGTTATAAACTATGAGTGCAATATTATAGCGGTAATGGTTGAGAAAAGCTAATGTGCTAATGATCTGCATAAGTCATGCATCTAATTCTAATGGGTACGATGTTCAAGTAACTCTGGTATTCTGCATCAATGCACTACCATCCACAGACATATACTTGGCAATGCATTGATGCCCTACCTAGTTACCAAAAAAAGACCCTGGACCAAGCCCAATGCATTTTTTCTCTCCACCCGATAATCTAAGATAGTACAAGTATTTCATGTGAAATGTAAAATATTAATGGAGTGTTTTGAAATTGAAATAAATCTTATTAGTTGTTCTTAATGGATAGCACAACATTGCAAATAGGAGCTGGGGCAAGCTGTAAAACGAAGGGTTACATTTATTTTATCAATTTGTAATATATTGGAGAACCAAGGAACAAATTTCAAGATCATAATGAGTTTAATTTTAACTTATAGATATAAACAGGGTACTTGTGATATAAGTTTCTATATTTGTAAAGAAGTGAAAGTTGTGGCCTTGGTTTAAATGCGAACATTAAAAGCGTAGAGGTATGAAATATTCAGGATAAGTTTAATAATGTAGAGGATGATCTCATGAAGTGATTTAAATATTCTCTGTTTTTTTTATAAAGCTATAAGTGTAGTTGTGAAACAAATCTTTTACCCGGCATTATGTTGTTAAATAACACCGCTTTGAAATCATGTAGTATAATTTTCCTATTCAGCTGTTAGCATGGATTATTTACGTTATGGTACAAAAGCTGGAGGGTAAATTTGGGAAAATCCAAATTTGTACTCTACTTGTCTGGCATATGCTTTATAAATGTTGAAACTTGCATAAGCTAACAGCTCCGGTCCCCCAAAAATTATAGCTTTATCTTGACTAATGTTGAGGGGCAAAGATGGAAAGCTTTGAATCTGCCATCCCTGCAGGTTTATCTGGTGTATATTGATGACAAATAAATATAATGAAACATATTTGTTGTTGCAGTATGGATGACTCTTTGTTGAAAACTAAAACATGTTTCATTCGATAGGGTAGCTTGTAGCTTAGTAATTAAAGTAGTGTCCTACACGTTTCCTAAGCTACATAATGTAACTTTTATGTGATTCTTTTTGCAGGACATGCACAAACAATGCGAGTTGGTTGGAAAAAGTTCTCAGCCTAGAATCATTGGAAGATTCTATTTCAGAAGATTTAAGAGATGCTTCTAATGTGTGTAATGGAGCCGAGCATCCAGTTCCTATGGTATTAGAATCTCTCTTGGGCAGCAACAGTGATATAAGTAGGAATACAAGTATCATGGTGTTTCTTCGAAATGCAATTTTGCTATGTCTAAATGCTTTCCCACGTAATCATATATTGGAGGAGGCCCTTATTACTGTTGAAGAGTTATCTTTTTCTCAAATGAGTACTTCTATTTCCTCCACCAAGCCGTCGCGAGCTCTGGCCAAGTCTCTGTTGAAAAAAGATCGTCAGGTAGTCTTAATATTTATGGTGCCACTTCCACTTTATTGCTACGGGCATGAGATTCTACTTTGAATTTATTTCCTTTATTCTTTATAATAGATTATATAGTAAGGAGGGGAAGATATATGTATAAGTTAGCCAAGCAAACTGATAGAAGAAGTAAGATTTTAGTTAAAGTGAAGTGCATTAAAGATGAAGATTAAAAAATACTTTTATTAAAAGAGGATATTCAACAAATATGGATGAGATATTTTGATCAGCTTTTCAATGAAGATTGTGAGAATACAATTGACTTTAGTGACCTTACATCCTAAATGAAAGTAGAGATTTTTTTTTTCAGCATATTAGCAAAACCAAAGTTAGACAGACTTAAAAAAAATGAAATGTAAAAAAGCTGTTGGACCTGATGATATTTCAATAAATGTGTGGAAATACTTAGAAGACGAAGGAATTTCTTGGCTTATGAAGCTTTTCAATATTATTTTGAAGACTAAAAGGATGTCAGATGAGTTGAGGAGTGTGTTGATTTCTACTTTTAAGAATAAAGATGACGAATAAGAGTGTGCGAATTATAGAAGAATTAAGTTAATGTATCATACTTATGGCGCAGAATGTTGGCCATTAAAAGAGAAGCATACAATTAAGTTAAGTGTTGCAAGGTTGAGGATGCTCAGGTGGATGTGTGGTTTTACTCTTAGAGATAGAATGCAAAATGAGCATATATGTGAAAAGGTTGGAGTAGCTCCAGTGATAGATAAGATTAGAGAGAGTCTCCTTAGATGGTTGTATCATAAAATGTCAGCCTTCAAATGACTTGGTTAGGAGAGTAGATGTATCAGAGTTAGCCTATGTTAAGATAGGTAAACGTAAACCTAATAATACTTGATCAGAAAATATTAGAAATGACATCTGTTTATTAGATTTAAATGACAATTTGGCTCTTAACACGACACAAAAAAGAAAAAGGATTCATGTAGCTGACCACACTATGTGGGATAAAGGCTTGATGTTGTTGTTGTTTTTTAAGACCACTTGCTCTTGTACCTACAAAAAAGTGATTTTTTCAACATCAACATTGTGCATGAGGCATCTTAATCTTGTAATAAACTTGTGTATGGGGTATCCTAATCTTGTAATAAACTCAAGGAATATGCAATAACTACTCATGCCTACTCATTTCAAGTTGTCTTCATGATTTTATGTCCGACATGCTGTTATTGTTGGTTTTTGTACTTTCTAAACCTAGATATTACTATTGTTCTGATGCAAAACGAAGCATTAAAACTGATAAAACAATTCATTTTTTTGTAAAAGTGCTAAAAATGATTTAACAAATCAGATTTTGTATTGCATGTTAATAAAGATATAATTATGCAAAACAAGGAAGACATGCATTAAGGAAATTCGATAGGAATATTCCCTGTAAGGACCTGCAGTATTGGAGGTAAAAACAATGAAGAAAAAACAGCCAATTAGAAAGCATTCATGTCATCATATTATGATTTTTTAAAGCAACAAAATTTCATGACCACACAACAAAAATGTTACAAGAACAAACAGTTATAAAAACTAAAAAGTTGCCTAAAAAATATAAAGAAATAAATTGCATTGAATCAATATAAATTAAATTTAAGAGAATCATCTCAATCATAGAAGAGATAAGTAGATCAACTATTAAATCCTAGCTAAGTAAAAAAATGTCATAGTCTTCAAGAGAGTTTTTGCATTTAGTTTAAAATCTAATAAATTTGGGAGAATGATAAAAATTTCTCAATTTATCCCTCTTCAAAAAAACGCAAGATGAAACATTTATTTATTAATCCACGAAGACTTCCAATAGAATCTTGATATTGAACAGTGTTTCTATGACAGATATAATCACAGGAGAATTCAATGTTAAAATTTTAAATTATATATAGCTAACATAGTATTGTCTCAAGTATAGAGTGCTATATATTATCTCATGTTACCTCGAACCTCATTTGTCTTATGCATTTTTGTTTATGTTTTTAAAACTTGATAACCATTTTCATGAAGGTTATATGGACTGGTGGGCCCTGAGGGGTTTTAGTAATTAGTAACTTCAATAGCGGTTATATTATTTTATTATTACATTTGAGCAAGTTCTCTTTTACTATTCTATTTAACTAATACTCTTTATCTATATATCAATCCATGCTTACTATAGATTTTTAGGCTCCAGTCATGCTTTTACATGTAGTTTTTAATTCTTTGTGGAGCAGGACTTGTTGCTTTGTGGTGTTTATGCACGAAGTGAGGCTGCTTATGGGAATATCGATATTGCAAGGAAAATTTTTGACATGGCTTTATCATCTGCCAATGGACTACCCATGGTAAGAACACTTGTGTTAAATTTTGGAAATGAACTTTATTTTGTGGCATGTTTCACCCTATTATATTGATTGCAATGTTGTTGCATGATTTCCGTCTCGATTGTTACATTCTATTATGCTATTACAAAAGTTATATGCCATCTAGTGTTTATACACGAAGTGAGCCTGCTTATTGGAATATCAATATTGCACGAAAATTTTTATTATGGCTTTTTCATCTTCCAATGGATTCCCAAAGACTCAATATGATAACCTCTTTGTTGACCTCCATGTGTGATCCACAAGTTGGTTCTATCAGATGCGACAATAATGACAGAAGATAAATGTAACTTCGCTAGAAGATCGTCTCAACATATTCAATTTATATGAAAAGTGATCAATACCGTATGTCACCCATTTTGCAAAATGGACATCTTGATGCATAATAATAATAATAATAATGAATAATATATATACATATCATAGGTTGTGAAAAAAATCATCTTAAAGCTAGTTCTAGTATTTGTTTACATGGCTTCTAAACGACTCTGTTGTCACACATAAAACTTGAACTATTAAGTAAAAAATGAGACCCTTGGTGTTTTGTGGAGCACAAGAATTTGAAATTAGCAACAAAATTTAAAAAGGTAAAAATAAAAGAAAATTTTGTAAATATAAAAAGTGAAATACCCAAAAAAAGATAGAACCAAAAAGAAAATAAAAAAGAAAATGTACTAATATTCCAAGAAGCTTTAGAAAGTTTTAAAACAATTCTTGGAGCTATGTACATTGAACTTTCTCGAGATTGTATTAAAGAATGTGGTCCCTTGTTTTTTACTTGTACAAGTTATGAAAATACCCAAAAATCTAAAAAAATATAAAAGATAGGGTATAAATTACTGTAGAAATTAGAGGTTCTATCAAGCGTGGTTTTTCATATGTGAGGGTGAAATTGATAGAGTTTGCATTTTGATAGTTGTCCTAATTGTGAAAAATAAAAAATTGCAAAATAGTAAAACTAACTTTAAAACTTGATTTGCTACCTATGGGGTAGAGTAGACATGGCCTATAAGCTAATACTATTCTAAGATCTAATCCTCTTCATGTGGGAATAGAGTATATAAGATCTATATGTTGATAATTATTCAAGTGGCAAAGTAATGATTATAAGTGTGAGTTTCATTAAAATATTTTCATGCATTTTGATAAAGTTTTCAAGGTTGTGTTATGAAAAATAATCTTAAAATAAAGTTTAAATGGTTCTCTTGCATACAGGGTAGGGTTATTAGCATCAAACTTTGGGCCTCTCCATCATAAGAGTTATTAGTCCCATTTCAAAGCCTGATCATCTATATATAGGAGTAGACTAGACAATACCCATAGCTTAATAATCGTCCATTACCTTATCTTCTGCATATAGAGCCACATGGCCTGTAACCAGATTATCCATTGTTCAATCCTTTGCAAGGATAGGATAGAATTGACATGGTCCATGTCCTGATAGTTTCCAAAGCATGATCCTTTATACACAAGTGATAGAGCGATACAATTGCACACAAAAATAAGAATAGTCGCCATATGTTCAAAATAAGCAATGTAAACTTGGTTCTCGAGTTGACTTCAACTGATGGGTCAAAACACTGAAAATTATTGACATTGCAAACAAGACATGCACAAGCTACTGATAAACATTATGAATATGCATGCCAACTAGTGTAGGCATTCACGACCTTGGTTTGTGTGCCAATATTGCTGAAAATTTCATGATTAAATTGAGGTTTTCAAGTCCATCCAAATTCCAAACTATATTTTCTAGATCAATCATGCACAAATTTAATTAGACATCGATGTAACATAAGTAAGACAAGTTTGTGCATGCCTCTTACCGCTAGGATGGGTGCAAACTATATATCATAACCGAAGAGGTTACTAAAATCATTAAAACTTCATTAAATTTTCAAATTTTCTAACCACCTATGCTAAATCATTGATTCACCTATGCGCATTTGGTTACTTCATATTTAATTACTCAACATGCATAAACTCAAATACTCAATTAAATTTTATAACACCAAATTAATTTAAATCAATTAAATTTTTTTGGTTTTCTCTTAAGGCAGGGCTATGCATCCAAATCTTCCATCAAATTCAAATTAAAAGCCAAGCCAATTCAAATCTAAATTGAATCAACATCCCTCATTTGGTCAACTTTTTTATGGAGTAAGATTGTAAGATCCTTCAATGAACCCTTCTCGATCAGAAGTTGTAAATCCAATCTAATTGTTGAGTCAATAAAGCATTAAATCAATTTCATACCTCCAATCAGGCCTGTACAAGCCTTACAAAATCAAATATTAATTTTAAGTAAACATATCAATTCCAAATTTCTTGAACCGTTGCCACTAAACTGTGATATAAGTTCTCGAATTGGCCCAGTGGCAGCAAAATTCATTATAAAAAACCTTATGTCATTTTCTATCAAATTAAGGCATAAGTCATCAAGTTAGCTACTTAGCTCATAATTACCTTAGATTTACAATTTCTAACTGTCGATTTGTCTCCGCCAAATTGGGACTTGTCCTCTTCAAGCTGACACAAAGCCATTAAACCACTAAAATACTTAACAAACGAATCATCAAATTCCAAAATCCTCGGGTTTAGTTCACACCAAATACATGGCTTTCAAGCCTAGTGTTATGTCCATCAATACAACGATGAAAATTCCCTCATATACCTCAAACAACTCCCCACCTATTCAAAATATCTTATAGGAGATAAGCGATGGTTGCAAGATGATGTGGCTTTTCAACCCTCTGTTTTTGGTAGACTGGATCTACCAGGTTGACCATGAGGTTTTTATTGGGTTGACCGCCTATCCACATCCATTTCAACTAAGTTCTAACCACTAATCCAAAGCATATCGATATCCTTAAATGTGGATATTTTTTATCACTCGTGATGTAATTAGCCAAGGAAGTTTGCACCTATGGGAAACCTTGATCTTCTATATGTAATAGAAACATTGAATAGTCCAAAATGTTGTCTAGGGGAAGTATTTGGGAAAGTGAAATAGGACACCTTTGAAAACTCCATGCTTAGCTCTTTTCCCAATGATCTAAAATAGCGAGAAGGAAATGAATCACACTAGGAGCCCATGAGTGCCTTTTAGAGTCATAATGATCAAAGAAGAACACTAAGCAAATGAGCTTCTTGGGAGGGTAGTCGACAATGAAGAGGATGACTTGATTAGTTCGCATAGAAGGGAGAGTTTCATGTAGTTACATAAGCGAAGTGTGGCATGAATGTTACTTTTTGGTGTAGCGGAAAATGGTTAGGTCGTCTATCTTTATTCTGTTCAAGGATGGTGTAGACAAAGTTGTGAATGTGTGAGCGAGGAAAAATGATGATGATGCAAATTGAGGTGTGTAGTTGTGCTACATGAAGTAGAAGATGGGGCATGGGGTGCAGGTGCCATTTGGTTGTGGACAATCCAAAAAATGGTTTAGAGAGGGGCAAAGTTTGGATACTAATTGATGAAAAATAAATACCTTAAAGGGAGGTATGGGGTAGATAAGAAGAAAGCATGGGAAACCCAAAAACCCAAGAAGGGAGAGAATCTTCATAGTGGCAGCCACAGGAAATCTCTGATTTCACCTCATCTTCAACTATGATTTTTTTTTGAGAAATTAGACCTATTTACAAAAATATGTTTTATTAAAAAATTACAAAGTTACCCATGAACAAAAAGAAAATAATAATCTATCCTTAAATGACATAAAATAATTGACTGGACATATACTAACATAAATGAGACTAAATGCTGATAGCATCTTGCACTTGTATCATTCTCGTGTTTTATGAAGATGCATAGCCTGATACGAAGGATCTTGGGTGATGGTTGATAAGGAAAGGCAGGGATGGTGGAGAGGCTGGCGTCCTTACCAATCTTTCTTAGGATCAGCGCATAAAAGTGGAGAGGCTGTTCATTAAGTGCTGGGGTCTGCTTGAACTTAACCTCCTTGGCCCAAGCAGACCCGATATCATGGATTGGGGGTGTGACGGCGTACAGGATGCTTGTTTCTGGATGCTAATCATAATATCGTTCTATTTTTGAAATTTCTTTACCGTTTGACTGGTTAATGTATTATTCTGAATGTCTTTTCTTAGTAACTTTATTAAATTTAGGCACAGCATAATACTTTTTTTGTTGAAATCAATCGAACAGGAGCTTATGGAACACATTCCACTTTTATACCTCTGGTATGCGGAGATGGAAATGGCAGCATGTAACTCAAGCAGTAATGCTGGGCAATTCTCGCAACGTGCAGTGCATATACTATCCTGTTTAGGTGGTAAACTTAAGTACAGCCCTTTTACAGCCGAACCATCTGGTTTAGATATTCTGAGAGCACGACAAGGATTCAAGGAACAAGTTAAAAACATGCGTTCTGCTTGGGCTCATGGTGATGTGAAGGAATCTTCAGTTGCTCTCATTCGCTCAGCATCTTTGTTTGAGCTCTTAACCACTGGGTGGTCTGCTGGTATTCAAATTATAAAGGAAGCTTTCTCCATGGCACTTCCAGGTGAGAGCAATGGTTTTATTTGCCATTGATTGAAATGGAAACAACCTTGATTGGTCGCTGCTGGTCTTTTCTGTTTATCTGCTGTGGTTTATGGGAAATCAAAAGTTATTTTTTTCTTTCTTTTTTTTTTCTCTGTCACTTTTATTTTATGTTCATATAAGCCCTTATTCTTATCCCTTTATTTGATATGTTCCTGGACCTTCTGTAAGCACTGTTATTCTAATATCTCATCTTTCCTCTGTCATCAAGCCATATTTGTCCCCAAATCCCATTAGTGGAGCGTGAGGGAGGATTTTTTAAGATCGTGTATTTATTCCTTGTTGGACTGCTGTTTTATTTTTTTATTTACGTATAATGTGATAGGAAACTCTTGTAGAATTCAAGAGTAAAGCTAACAATGACTGATTTCAACGATTTGCCAACACAATTTTGAAAGAAAAATCAAAGTAGCACAAACAACGTAGTATTAGATGAACTCTCATAGAATAGAACAAGCTACAATTGATCCTCAATTTGAGAGGAGGATCTATCTCTCCTACTTTTCTAGACGTCGTTAGAGCCTGAGCACAAAAAAAAAATACAAGAACAAAGTCAGCACAATAACAAGATACCACCAACCCCAGTACTCCTACTTCCCCTCCAATCCTTTCTCAGAGATTCCCCTCAATCTCCCTGATAGTAGCTCAAACTTCTCCCAGTACTCCATGGTGGTCCTCTCTTGAGTTAGGGCATAGAACTGCTCGTGAAGGTCTCCTTCCTGGATGGTTTGGAAATGTTCCAGCAAACACTCCTTAAATTCTCCCAAGGAGTATATCGGATACCTAGCCTCCCTCCATTTGAACCAGGCTAGGGCTTTCCCTTCCAAACATAGACCCGCCACCATGAGTTTTTCTCCTTCCACCAGCCCATTGATGGCGAAGTAATGCTCCACCTGGTATACCCATCCTGGAGCATCCTCCCCTTCAAAGACCGGCATCTTAAGCTTCATTGCCCTCCCATCCATACCCCCTTAGTTTCCTCAACCATGCCCTTCTTCTAGACCTGTCAATATTGGACCCGACCCGAAAACCCGACCCGAACCCGACCCAGAATTTTCGGGTTTGGGTTGACCCGAACCCGAAGCGGGTCGGGTTCGGGTCCGAAAAACCGACCCGTTTGCAAAAACGGGTCGGGTTCGGGTTGACCCGACGGGTTGCCAGGTCAATCCAAAAACCCGTTTAATTTTAAAAAATTCGAATTTCCCTCGCTGCCCCCGCGCTGCCCGCCAGCCCCTCTCGCTGCCCGCTAGCACCGCGCAGGAGAGCCGCGCGCAGTTGCGCGCACTCCCAAGGCAGTTCCGCCTTTCGCGCACTCCCGGTCAACCCGACCCGTAACCCGAAATTGACAGGTCTACCTTCTTCATTCCACTTCTCCCCATGCCTGAGAAATCTCCCAAAATGGTCGGAATCCCTCCTCCTTGCTGTCCTCCCCTCGGAATAACCCGATCTGCCCAACAACAGGGCTCCTTGCGGCGGTCCATGTTGGAAAACACTCTCCAATTCATCGTCGTCCTCCCGGATCTCCTTTCCTTGTGGTTCCATCCTAGGAATCGCCGGCGATGCTTTCGCTTGCATCTCCAGCATCTATTTCATCATCTCCTCGAAGTTTCTAAAACGGTTTTCGATGGCTGAGAGTCTTCCCTCAATCCTAGAGTAGTTTTCTTCTACTCCGGCCTTGAGTTGTTCCATCTTGCCCTCCAACGCATCCATCTTCTTTGCTGCCATTGATTGGATTGATGTTCCAATCACAAAAACAGCTAAGAAAGATTATTTGTAGAATTCGAGAGTAAACCTAACAATGATTGATTTTAACGATTTGCCCATACAATTTTGAAAGAAAAATAAAAGGAAGTAGCACAAACAACGTAGTATTAGATAAACTCTCATAGAACATAACAAGATACAGAGTATCCTCAATTCGAGAGGAGGATCTATCTCTCCTACTTTTCTAGATGTTGCTAGAGCCTGAGCACAAAAAAACACAAGAACAAACTCAGTACAATAACAAGACCCGCCTGCCCCTCTTTAAGCAATGTGCCCCATCAATCAGCCGCCCTCTCCCCTAGTCAGAGCTTGCCAAAAATCAATGTTTCCCTTTCAAACAATGGGCCCCACAGGTGCCGACAGCTGGTTAGGCGGAACAGCAAGCCTCCGCCTACTGTAGACGAAGGGCCGGCCCAATTTGGCCGGCTGGACCGATCTATCACAATGCGTGTAACCAAAAAATCTTCAGCGCTGGACTTCTATAGTTATGATGCTTTATTTAGCTTGTATGATGATTTCTGTTCATTTTGATTATTATTATTATTTTAGTTTCATCTGTAAAAGGGTTGCTGTTTTACTCTAAATACTATTTGACATTTTGAAGGTATGCTGTTAAATGCTAATCAAGTAATAAGGCATGCAGTGTGATCCACATAAGGATTGGATGTAGGTCCATTAATAAAGCTATGAATTAATTAGGCATTTTAATTCCCCCCCCAAAAAAAAATAGGCATTTTAAACATCAGTAATCCATGGAGCAATGAGTTACAACGTAGTTATAATGGCTGGTGCTGAATCTGACAGGTTGAAAGCGTTAACACACATGGATTTATGCATGACATACATGGATTGAAAATGCACTTATGTTCTCTTTGAAGATAATTTTAATTTCCGCATACCATCTTGCAGCCTTAAGCTGGATATATGGGTGACGGAGATCTGAAAGTTTGTACTCGTTGAAAACTCAAATCTGTTGAGACTAACAAATTAGCATATTGATAATTGTTTCATCTTATTTGTAATATCTATTTCAAAGTTTTTTTATTATGTTATCTTTAGTTTTGGTTCAACTCTGATTTGATTGGTGGCTTAAGTGGACAGTTTGTGTACCAGTTGCTTTTGTTGTCTTATGTGATCCTATGAATAAATATTAATCGAGTTTATCATTTTGGGAGCCTTGCAATTTGGTTCCTGTTGCAGTAGGATGCATTGACAAGAACACGGGGACACAAACATGATACGATATAGATATAGGGTACGTCTATTATTGAAAATATTGAATACACACATACAACAAACACGGCATTATATTTTTATATTTTAAAATTAAAAAGAATGCAATTAAATTAAATGAAATAAATAGAATAAGCTTGTGTAGTTGTAATAGTGCTCATTATTTTTTATTGCACATTGCACAATACATATAGAGATACATACAAAATATCAAATTGTGCAATTTAAATAAATGATAGACAAAATCATAGCATGCAAAGTAAAACTGTATATTATTTAAAAAAAATTATTAATGATATTTTTTTATGTAATAAATTTATAGAGTTATAGCTAAAGATTATTTATTTGGAGGATTCATCTCCATTCCTTTTGATTATTTAGTATTTATTTGGAGGACCTTAAGCTTCAGCATTAGGAGAAGATGTCAATCATTGCCTCTTTGGGCTTGGGGATTGGCTTTGATGTTGAGAAGGGAGAGAATGTAGGTCACCAGACTAACAAATTAGCATATAGATTTTATAGATTGTGGCATAATTCTTGACTAAAGTATTTTCTTATGTTTTCTAAATTTCTAGCATAATTTTTTCAATGGAAGCGATCAGTGAACCATCATATGTGCAAATTTTTGCATATTTTCTTGTTTACTTGTTGCATAAACAATTTGTAGAGTGATTGATTTTATAGTTGTTGAACTATGAATTCCTAATCTTGATTGATTTAGTTTAATTTATCGCAATATTTAGTTGTATTAGAATTCCTAGATAATTAAGCATAGTATGAAGTTTTCAAATAAAGTTCATTTAAATGAATTAATATCCTTTGTAAATAAAATATTAGACTCCAGATTATTAGAGATAACTAAGCAGTATGCATCGCCATATAGTGGACCATCAGTACCAAAGCCAAAAAAGTTTTCATGATCATTTAGTTGTATTAGATATCCTAGATATAAGGCATCAGGCATCAATGCGTTTAGCTTTTGCAGTTATCATCATATTTGGTGTTATGCCTATGTTAACCTTTGGGAAGATCTAATCTGCTAGTTTTGACCTATCACCATCTCTTTCCTTTGCTGACCTTTTGACCTAGTTATGGGTCCCAACTTGTCAAGTACCTCTTTCGCTATCTGCTCTGCATGTGCAGAACACTCCATTCTATTATGTATTTAGTACGTTACTTCTATCACCATGGCTGAGCTAAGGTTAGAGGATAAATTTAAACAGCGCCTAACATAGTTGAGCTTTTCTTTTTCTTTTTTTTTTTTTTTTTGGCCAACAAACATCCTTATTTGTCGCTCTTGACTTTCCTAATATCTTCAACTATTGTATATTAAGAAACATTCATATGCTTCATCTTTGTTACATTGCGATGTGTAGTATGAAATAAATCATTCATTTTGGATTAGTTTGATTTGTCATCTTTTTTTTTTTTTCTATTGAATTTTACCATCTTAAAATAATTTCTGATTCATGTTATATGCCCTCAGAAAGAAGAAGTCATAGTTTGCAGCTTGAATCTTTGTGGATGCACTATTTAAGAACACTTAAAAAATATATCAAGCAGTTAAAGTTCTCAGGAGTGTGGGAAGTCGTAGCACAGAGCTTACAAATGTACCCTTACAATCCAAAAATTTTTAGTACCATGGTGGAAGTCAGTTGTCTTTTCACTGCCAGGCACAAAGTTCGACAGTTGTTTGATGAATATATGCAAAGGTAGATTTATATCAAATTCTTATTTACTTTTTTGGAATGCTTACAACTGTGCCAACCTAGAGCAATGTTTAAATTCTCCATTGTAATCTGGAGGTCATGAATTCTAATCACAGAACTCTACAATACATGCCTGAGGCTGCATAGAACACTCCTTAAGAGACCTTACATTAGCTGGACCTTCATTTCACCCTTTTTTATTATTGGAATGCTTTTATATGTTTTTTTAATCTATTCAACACACATTCAACATCTTAAAACACAAATTTGTTTAGGTTTCTTAATCTGAGTAGAAAGTAAAGTGTCGCTTAAATTTAAGTGTTATATTCACATATTTTCGGTTTCTTATGCATTTCCTTAGTAGTGTATTATAAATGTGCAAAAAATTTATAAATAATCTATCAATCAATATCGCTCAGGTAAACTAAATGCATATAATAATTGATGTACATAATTTAAACAAATGAAAAAAAAACACAAATCACAATAAAGCATGTTCATTAATATGCTATGATATTCTAAACTTGGCAGTAACATTTTGCTAACAGAAACATAGCGGAAAAGAAACATAGGCTTAATTCAGTTGCTTTGTAGTAGAGAAGAAATTACATTGTATTATTAACTATTGCACACTCCATAGCACATTAGAAGTATTATTCTGGAAAATTATATATATATATATATATAAAGAAACACTTATAATCTATAGAAATAAGAAAAAAAAATATTTTATCTGCAGTGTGGTTTTGGAGTGATTTTTCTTTAGCAACCTAGCTGCTTTATAGCTTTTTTTTTAATATATTTTCTGTGTGCTTTAACTAGAGTATCTAAGTAAGCATGTAGTCTTCATATAATTAGTAAAATGATATCTGGAAGTCCTTAAGTGACAAGTTCTGCAAAAAATTATTGGTTGATCATTCAAGGCATTTGGCTCTCTTTATCCATATTTGTATCATTCCGCTCTAATATTTGTCGTTCATCTTTTTTTCTGTAATGTGGATCAATTTAACTAAAATCTTACATTTTTTTGGGAAGGGAACTCTATATGGATCATAATTCTTAGTAATTTTTTTTTTGCAGGAAACCATCTGTGATTGTATGGCTCTTTGCATTGGCATTTGAATTAGGTAAACCTGGAACTGAACATAGAGTTCACGGTTTGTTTGAGAAAGCACTGGCAATTGATAAATTTCAGAAGTCGGCACTACTTTGGCGCTGTTATCTAGCTTATGAAACGGACATAGCATGCAATCCTTCTGCAGCCAGGCGGATTTTCTTCAGGGCTATTCATGCCTGTCCATGGTATAATACTCTAAATTGAAATGAATGTTTAATTCTTTACTTTCGGTCATCTAATAAAAAATTGAATGGCTCTCTTATTTTACTGATATGATTGTGTCCAAGAAATATTCCATAAAATATTTGGCTGTATGCACAACTTGTAATTAATTTTTACCACTTGGAAAACATTATAGCTAAATGGTGCTTTGATGTAAGCTATACTACAGTTAGTGAATCATGAAATTCAGTTGATTAATTGTTAAATTCAGAGAATTGGAGAGGAAAAAGGCTTAGTTATATTACACAAAACTATCCATATTTATAGATTTACATAAGATATCTTGAATTATGGAGGTCAACTTTAGAGTCTAAAGATTTTCGCTTGAGTAGATCTAAAACTGAATATATGGAGTGTAATTTTAATAGCAATAAACCTAGTGAGGGGATTGTGACTTTGGGCGATCAAGTCATTAATAAGAGTACACATTTAAATATCTTGGATCTATTATTCAGAGTGATGGTAAAATAGATGGGGATATTATCTGCAGAATTCAAATTGGATGGTTGAAGTGGAGGAATGCATCGGGTTTGTTGTGCGATAGAAAAGTCTCCCTCAAGCTTAAGAGAAAATTTTATAAGATGGTGGTGAGACCTACAATGCTTTATGGTGCCGAATGTTGGTCATTGAAAAAGAAGCATAATACTAAGTTAAGTGTTGCAGAGATGAGAATGCTTAGGTGGATGAGTGGCTAGCTTTTACCCTTAGAGTTAGGATACGAAATGAGCATATATGTGAAAAGGTTGGAGTAGCTCTAGTGGAAGATAAGATTAGAGAGAGTCGCCTTAGATGGTTTGGTCACATTAAACGGAGGCCTTTTGATGAGCCGGTTAAGAAAGTTAACGTATTGGATTTGACTTATGTTAAGAAAGGTAGAGGTAGACCTAAAAAGACTTGGTTAGAAAATATTAGAAATGATCTTTCTTTATTATATTTAAATGAGAATTTGACTTTTAACATGACACAATGGCGAAAAAGGATTCATGTAGCCAACCCCACGTAGTGGCACAAAGGTTTGATGTTGTTGTTGTTGTTGTAAGATATCTTAATAAGGAAAAAAGCATTAGAGAATAATGCCTAATTGTACTAATATAATCCTTCCTAAATCAGCCACCCAAATAGGGAAGGAAATCGACGTGATCCAGGTGAGCCTCCCACGGATCCCCATGCTAGCCATGGGATCAAGGGCTAAGGGACCGCTGAGATTTAACAGCGTGATCCAGGTGAGCCTCCCACGGACCCCTCATGTTGGTTGTGGGATCAAGGGCCAAGGGACGATTAAGGATTTTTACACTCCCTCTCAAGATGAGGAATATAGATATGTCATTCACAGCTTGATAATTAGTCTAAAAAAATTAGAGTTATCAGTCTCTTGGTGCACCATAGAGTCCTCTATTTAGTCAAACCTTTGAGAGGAATTAGCTTTAGACATTACGACAACAAAGGATAGTGATGAAGGCTATATCAATCAAGCTTGCAAGGTGCAGGGAAGCAATGAAGGCTGCGTTGAGTAGTAGCTCTCAAGATACCAAAAATCACAATAAAGGCTGGTGGTGGGACAATAGGGAAGGTGGATTAATTATCCTTCGGGTCCGTCTCCTTGATTCTCAAGGGAAGGTCAACAATGAAGGCGTGCCAATATAAAGAAAAATAATGTATTTAAGGTTGTGACAAGCTGCAGGGACAACAACAGAAAAAAATGTCTCAAGTGGCTCAGCACTCGACATGCAGATCTCCTCCTTGTACGATCGAGCTAGCCTTCAGCCTAATGCAAATCAGTCGTTCGACTCCACTCGAATAGACATCTGCTCGATCGGCCCCGGGAAGTGAAAACAAAGCTTCTGGTAACACACAAAGAACAGATTGCTCGGCTTGACACTAGTGCACTCAGAAGTCGCAGGCGCATATCCCTTGCACAATCGTTTTGCTCGATTGACTCCCAGGTCACACGAATTTCTTGGTTCGCTCTGCTTCACATTCACAGTGAGTCGCTCAATCCTTCTTGCTCCCTCACTCCGTCCTCTTTTTCACTCGATTCAGCCCCCAGGCCCATACGAGAGACTCCCGTCTCCGCTTCTTCTGGCCGTAGGCATGAAACATATGGTACAAACTATTTGATCCGCTTGACTGTTATTCGATCTCCAATGGCAATGAAGGCTGCTTGCTCCTCTCCGCTTCCTTCAATTCGTATGTCCCATTGATTCTGGCAATGAAGGCCGGTGGAAGGCCCAATATTCCTCAAATTCCAGTAATGAAGGCCAGTGGAAGGACAAGTATCCTCAAATCCAGTATTTTTCAGAATTCTGGTAATGAAGGCCTGCGGAAGGCATGGTGTTCCTCAAATTATGGCAATGAAAACCAATGGAAGGCCCAATATTCCTCAAATTCCAGCAATGAAGGCCGGTGGTGGGTACCTATATTTCTCAGAATTCAGACAATGAAGGCCGGTAGTGGGAATCTATATTCCTCATATTTTCAGCAATGAAGGTCGGTTGCTCCTCTCTGCTTCCTTCAATTCAAGGCTTTGATACCATGTTAAATTTAGAGAATTAGAGAGGAAAAATGTTTAGTTTTATTACACAAAAGTATCCCTATTTATAGATCCATTCAAGATATCTTAATAAGGATACAAATCATTAGAGAATAATGCATAATTATACTAATATAATCCTTCCTAAATCAGCCACCCAAATAGGGAAGGGGATCGGCGTGATCCAGGTGAGCCTCCCATGGATCTCCATGCTAGCCATGGGATCAAGGGCCAATGGACAACTGAGATTTGACAACGTGATCTAAGTGAGCCTCCCACGGATCCTCATGCTTGTCGTGAGATCAAAGGCCAAGGGACGATTGAGATTTTTAAATGTTAATTCTAGCATTAATGGTAGTTGTTTAGCAACCTTTATCCAAAATGGTGCTGAAACCGGAGCAAAAGTGAAGCGGGGGAAGTAGATTTGGCAGCCTAACCTTGCTTGTGTATTTATCTGCTTAAGGTCACAAGTCTACTGAAAGAGAAGAATCTCCGATAAGATGATTTGAGAATTATGAAGTCTCAGCTCCTATTGTTGAATGTCACGCCTTGCTGCCTTAGCCTCGCCCTAAGGTCTGGACCTGTCAACTACATGGGGACTGACCCACTATTGTGGTCCCCACACTCTTATGTTCCTCCTGAATCATAAATCCTTGACTCCTGCAGCTTACTCACCTTGCTTCCAATCAAATTTGTGAATGTAAATAGTATTTATGACGTGGTTCATGTTACTTTTATCATTTATTAACCTTATTATTATCTTGCATTAATAGGCAAAGCATGTTTAAATTAACTTTGCTTATTATTTAGAATTTTCTTTACACATACAAGTACAAAATAAGCGTAGGAAATACTTTAACGATAATAAGATAGGTGAGTTCAAAAGTCATAAGTTAGTTGAAAAATCATTTTGGGGATTCAACAATTTGAAACATGATTTTCGGTTCATCAATGTTAAAATAATAAAATTATAGATCAAATTCTTTAAAATTAATGTTACAACTCGATGAAGATTAAGACACTATTTGAGCCATTAAATGTGCATTTACTTGAGTTCTATTTTAAACATGATGTGGTTAAGAATGATTTTTACAAATACCTTTTTCTTCTAATAGGATCTTTTTTATTTTTATTTTGCTATTGAAGCTCTTTTTTTACTTCCAATTGCCGATTCTCTTCATCCGTTGTCTTATTGCTTACTAATTTCGAAATGTTCTATTTAAGGAACTTACACTTCAACTTATAGGCAGATTGTCAGTTACGCGAGAATAAAACAAATAATGTACTAGATGTGAAATTTTCATAAACATATTCTTCAGTTTGATCAAACTGTGCAATGTTTTGGAAAGAAATTTACTTGCAATTTGACTTTTTTTTTGTTGAAATTTCCATGTTCTGAAATAGTTATTTAATCAAGGAAAAATGAACAAAAATTGTTTGTATGTGAGTATATAACGCAAGGCCCAAGAAAGCTCCAAAAGAATAAAGCTATAGTTCACCTTAAATTGGCCTTGCTTTTTATATTATTATTCATATAGAAAATTTATGGGCCCAAGGAAACTACTTCATGGAAGAGAAATCACTACATGCCTCAAAATGAGATGAGCAAGTGGTAAAATCACAGTGCTAAAATCACAACTTGGGGTTGAATGTAAATTCGACTAGGGGATTTTAGGAATAGTGCTTACCGGTGTGAGGGAGAATTGTGCGTGAGAGCCTGAGAGTGTTTCAATGTACCTCTAGTTCCCTGCTTTTTCGTCCGTTCCTCTTCCCACTTGAAAAACTACTTCCTTTTTTTTTCTCGTTCGAAATGAAGGAATTGTCCAAGTCGAATAGATGTCATATGAATTGCCTCTTTATTTGAATTTTTTTTTTAAATTAGGAGGGAGAGTTAATTATTTTATCTCTAATTTAGACATTCAAATTCCAATATTTAATTAATTACTTTTAATAGATATAGAGAGCAAATTTTAATGAAATTGGTAAGTTAATTGAGCTAATTTAATTTATATTTTAATCTAAACTGGTGTAAATCAAACTATTTGATTTGATTAATGTTGGTTTAACTTTAATTGACTCGGATGAGTCAATTTGGGCTGATCGAAGCCGCCGCCGTTAAATTGAACTTGAATCGAGTCGATTTAACTCGATATCGTGTCAATTTGCGTCGACGTGTCTCGATCCATGCCGATTAAATTTTGATCGCTTTGAGATGAGTCAATTTAGCTCATATTACATCAAAATTGGATAATTCTGATCTAATTGACGTAGATTAGGTCGGTTCAATTAGTATTTGATCTGGTTTTGTTTAAGTGAATCTAATTCTGATTGACTTCAAATGGCTCGATCTGACATCCAATTAATCCCAAGTAAACGTGAGATGGGTTATGTAGTATTTATAGAACTTGTCGAGTTCAAATTGAATTTGAATCG